GAGATACAAGTCCTGTGGCCTGTCGCTTATGGTCATGGATGCCATCTGATAGACAGCTGGTATAGCTGGAACAGCTTCTGTGTGGCTGGGTATTTTCTCAGTTTGAATTGTTTTTGTCTGGTTTCTTAGTGCCCCCTCAAACTTTATATGCTGCCTCTGAGTTTGTAGTAAATTCTCCCCCCCCCAACTATCTAGACTGCATTTCATTGCCTACAACTAAGAACAATAACCTAGACAGTGAGAGTCCTAATTCTAAATAATAGCAGGATTATTCTCAAAATAACATCTCAGTGAAGTTATCACATTTCAGGCTTTTGTCCTTAGCTTTATGGGTTCAGACATCTATTCCTGTTAGTCCTCCAGGGTGGTCAGGTTGAGAAACAAACAAAAGCTACTTAAACTAAAGCTGAGAAAAACAAGATTGAAGAGGGCATGAGCATGGCTAAATGATCACATACCAGTGAATTTTCTGCCTAAATTCAAACCACATGATTTTAAGCTTAGATCAGGAAACACTGGGACAGAGTGTGAAGATGGTGGAAACAAATCTCAAAGACACTAATAGATCAATGTTTATCAGCCATCAAAAACATGGTAACACTGGAGATACAGAAGGAATTTTGCTTGTGGTGTTGCCTTTCTGTTGCTCCCCAGGTTGCTCCCAGGTTGGTAGCAGAGGTTGCAGAACTTGTATACATGATATCAGCCACCAGTCCTAACCAGGTCCTGTTGTATGTTATATGTCCTCCATCTACCTGTACTCATATTTCAGGAGTTGAGGACTTTCTATTTAGAGTCACGGGTGTAGCAAATCACACCATGAAATGTATATACGACTTTAGGACAAATCCCTCAGATAATAGCTTGAAGGACTTGTCAATAGATATAGAAAGTTCCAAGTGAGTTATCCAAACATTCTCCTACCCTGAAAAGACCTGTATAATGAAGTTCAAATTTGCTACCTTTTAATTTGTTTGTTAAAGTTTCTTTTGAGACTTGTTTTACCTCTCCTTCTATGTAGTACGTTACATAGAGTCTGAAGTCTGCCTTGACCTATATCCTGAAGCTTGATGGGAGAAACTTCTAGCCACTCATTTTCTGCTTGATTTTTCAATTCTTTCATTTAGGGCAGAAGTAGGGAGGGATATGATTTCTTGATTTACATTTCAGAGAACAACATTATTTCCAACTTCTTGGAGGACATCATTCAACCCTCAAGTACTGACAACACTGATCTGCCAATATTCTCAAGAAATATCTACCTACACAGTCTATCTTTAGACTTAAAGAATGAAGGCTTATGAAATTTATCTTTCATCTAATTTTAAACTTTTAAGATCTACTTTCCCCTGCAAATGCAAGTGATAATTCTCATTTTGACTACACTTTGGCTGTGTTTCAGTGACTTATAACTGGCATATTTTCTAAATAGAAATTCATTATGTTTGAAAATCTAGCATTTAGATTAAAATTTAAAGAAAAAGTTAATTCATGAGGAGGTTTGTCTCTTATCCAACTGATGTAACCTATAGTTTTAAATAAATTTTAATCTAAAAAATGATTTGAAGAAATTATTTGCATCAGATGAGTTTATCCGAATATATCCTTGCCTTCAAAACAAGCAAAAAGTCAATTCACACTTAGGATCAGTTTTGTAAGTTTTATTAAAAATAGAAGAAATCATCTCACAGAAATGTTGCTTTGGGAGTTTGAGACATGACTAATGGAAGGTAAATGAGTCTCAAAGATTATATTAAAAGCTCAATGTAGAAAGGGCAAAGAAGATACATCTTCCTCTACTATTGGGAAGCATTTCAGCATTACAGGAATAACTTACATTATACTGATTGTAAGTATATACTCCTCCAGACTTTACGAGAAAAAATTTCTCCAATTCTCTCTTTCAGTAAGACTGTCTGGAACAAGAGTAAATTTGGGCAAATTTTTAAAAATTGGCTTACAATTGCAGTTATGTCATAATTATTTTCTTGCTTCAATGATACTCATACCATTATCCTTGATAGTCTTCCTTTTCCTCTATTTCCTTTCATAAGGCAGCAAGACTGATTTTGAAAAGAATTTGCCATAACTTACAATGGAAATAGGATAACTCCATTAGCAAAATACAAACACAAACATCATAATGGAAGGATGTAGGATACTATGTTGAGAGCTCCTAATTACTGAGAGGTATTGTAATAGAGCCCAGATATTTTGTGGCTCTATCTGGATTCTGGTGGAGGAAGTCATTATGGCCGTAAAACTAAGAATCATCAGAGATGGGTCTTTGGCTTAGCTCTTTCTGAGAAAGAAACTTGGGGTCTTACTATAAGAGGACCACAATACCTAACAAGCAACCTCAAAGAAAATGTAGAAACCTTTTACATCTTCCTGACTTTTATGTCTTGTGTAATAAAATTATTGAATAGATTGATCTCAGCAGAAAAATATTTTTTCTAACCTCTGCCTTCAAACATATTCCTAAGATCATATTTACCAAGCTTTGAAGGCATTATAGATTCCAAATGTTTCTAAGAACTTTCTCATTTTCAGGTTTTAGAAAGCCAAAATTATATAAATTAATCTTGTATTCAATTAATCACTATTTCTCTTCACCTACTTTATGCCTAATAGAGAGTTTGAGAACCAGAAGGGAAGAAAATTGGGATCAATGTTTTCATTCTTCCCACATATCTTCTCTCCTTTTCTTATGCTTACAAGGACATCCAATGGGGGACAGGAGGAGAAGGAATCGAAGAAGAAAGGCTAACATCTCATTTGACTGGTACTATTGTAATCTGGCATCAGTGCCCTCTTTTGGGAGTGGGATCTAAATTCAGACTGTTCCCTGTTCTTCAGAACTCCAAGATTTCTGCACTTCCTCATTTTTTGGGAAAGGTAAAGGGCACTTATCTGCTCAACATCTCTCAGCTCTTGTCATACTGTAGAACACCTGTAGCCTTTTTCTACCCAGATCCTCCCAAAGCTATAATGATGAGCTGGTCTAAGTGGACTCACCATAGATAATGTAATCCATATATGAAACTCTCAGAGAGGGGCCCTCATTTCTTAGGAGGAACATATGTTGATCAAATTGCATCTAGGTAAGACATCTTTGAATGACCAGTAGGACACAGTAGTTTGACAGCAGATTTTTATTGAATGAATGAAATTTCTTGCAAATACTAATTCCCAAATTCAAGGTCATTATCCATCATCCTATTGTTCTCATTGTCACCATTGAACACACAAGTAATTAAATTTCTTGTGTGAACTAAACTATTTGAATGCAGAGGTAGAAGAAAGAGAAATTTACTAATGGAATTTAGCTTAAATAGGGTACCATAGAAGTGATGGAGACAGCCATCATAACAGAAAGGGGAGCAATCTGCTGTAGCTTGACTGTTAGAGCTCAGAAGATGCCGAGGCAGCTTGGGACCGTGTGCTTCACTCCCTTTTCTGTGCTCAGTTGGTGCTGCTGAGATATACCAAATGGCACAGAATTTTTGGTGGGGGTGGCATTTTAGTTTTTACTTATATTTCTCACCTTCAAAACTAATTATAAACTTGTCACATCAGAATGACAGACTTAAGACTAGTTCAGAATTTCCATTCCCTTAATAGGACTAAGCTTTTCTCCACAGTCAAGCTTGAGTTACCTGTATCCTTCTTCTTGTAAGGGAGTGTTTCAGTCTTCCAAAGGCAGAACCAGAAGTTCAGTTTATCAGCCATGCCCAATATGTATACAAGGTGGAAAAAAATGATATCCCTTAAACCCTGAACCAGAATATCTTAAGAGATACCAGTGTTTTTAGAAAAGAATAACTCGAGAAGTGCCCAGGGTAGATAGAAACTGAGGTCCCAAAAGCCTGGGAGTTAGCTGTTATCAAGACACTTGGCTGCTAGTAAGTGATGGTGGAGAGAAACAAGGATAGAGATGCCGTGGAGGGAAAGCCAAATAGGGTCCTGCAAGGCAAAAGGGCATAAAAGAAACCTGTGGGATTGTGTAGACAGAAAACTACTTCTAGAGAACAGGAAACTCTTACATGTAACTTTAAATTGATTACTGTGTAGTCCTGTATTCTTTCCATTTGAAGAGGGCTTTGGCCTATCATAAGGCAGAGTAAAGAGTACAGAGAATTTAAGCCATTGTCACTTAGATGTTATGGAGAAAGAGATTCCAAACTGACATCTGGGTTATGTAGGCAGAAAACCATCTAAGATTCAATTTTGGAATCTTTAAAGAAGTTCACTCCACATTATAGTGTGGAGAAGCAAGACTTGAGTTTTATGGAAATCATGTTACTCAGACAATTAAATTGGCAGTATTTGGAGAGGCATAAAGGATGAATCTATATTGGGTAAGTGGCCTGCTATCCTTGGACAAATTATGTCTTGACAAATGGAAATGAAAGAAGAGTTAAATTTTAACTTGTGTTTTAAAGAAATAAAATTATGGTATTTTGGAAGAGAAGGGTATGGTAAGAATATTTATAATATTGGCTAAAAGTCCATAAGAAAGAGAGAATGAAAAAAAGAGAAGGAGCAAGATGTTTTCTTGACTAAATTTAGGAAAATGAATTGAGGGCTTAGAATGGGGAGCAACCAGAATTTGGGTAACACATTCTTATAAGAAAAGAATTCCTATTAATGTGTGAAATAACTGGCAGTCATGAAAAGGATAAAATAACATTTGGACAACATGATTTTGACTATCTTATGTAGAATATTCCGAGAGTAAGATTCCAAAGTAGCAAAAACTAAGGCGAGATGAGGCAGGCATGAGACACACAGGACCAACCTGGGAATTGTAGAAGAGAAAGTAAAGAAGTGAAACAGAGTTGAGAAAGGAGTGATTGTTTAGAGACATGCAGATAGCTGTGGAGATGAAAAAGAATTCATGGTATATTTATCACATAAGAGGTTGTCAAGAGCAGTGCTGGTTATTGATCTTGTATCAGAGCAAACCCTATTTGCCTGGTGGTCTTATACCCTGTGCCTCAGGTGGTCTCCAGGACCTTGCACTTTACCTTTAGATTCTTTCTTACTGTAGGGCTACTCAGCATCAGCAAAGTGGAACGGATAGAGACTAGAGCATAGATGACATCTTCCCAGATCCAGAACCAAGGTCTCTTATCAAACAGGCTGAATGACAAGGCAATGACTACAGACAAAAAATAAGAGGTGAAGAAGATAACAAAGATGATGAGAGACTTCAGGGCGGTGGAATGAGCTCTCATATTGGAGTTGCAGTGGCCAGCGTTGTAGTGCCGCATCTGCTCCGAGTGCTGCTTCAGCGAGGTCATTAGTGAGACGATGGAGGCCAGGAACAGGATGAAAGGAATAAACAACACAACTAATTGATGAAACTTGAAAAAGTTCCATGGAAACACCTTAAGTCTCTCAATCATAGTGTCGTTTGTGGGTGCATAGTCCATAGTGATTAACAGAACCCGGAAGTAATTCTTAAAAATCGAAGGAATCATTGATACACAACATATCATCAGAGAACCCAGTACCAGCTGGGGAATCAACCTCAAAATTCTCCACTTCAGCCAGAGGAACTTGGGGTGGGTAAAAGAAGAGACCTTGGCACAGTAGAAGACAGCGAGCAAGCTGGTTAACCAGAAGATTAATGTATTTGTAAATTCCCATGTGACTGAGAAGCACCAAAGTATATAATTAAGGTCAAAAAAAGAGCAAAAATCAAACAGTATCGATGCCCACTGTAGACAGAAGTGGCATATGCCCAGGCTGATGATAATTATGTCCACAGGTGACAACCTTTTGAACTGTACCCACTCTCTGCCCAGCACTACAATAATTAAGCTGCTCTGTACAATTATTATCAAGGATTCAAGCATATAGATGGTCATGAAGAAGATATTGAGTTCAATGGGTATCATTCTTCTTCTCTAAGGTATCTTCCCAGACAAACACTTGGAATCTGTGTACCAATTTGCAGGTTGGGAACAGATTCCTGATCCCACCACTGTCTAGTAAAAGAAAACACCTCCCTCTGGATGTAAATGTTACCCAGCTCATTTTTGGCTTTGTTATTTTCCTATTTACAGAATTTGATTATGCTTTGCTTGCTGGTTTGTTATCACATCTGGATACAGGGAAATACTGTTTGAATGTGGATTCCTGCTCATGAGATGATTTGATTATTCTCATAAAGGCATAGCTACTTCATAATCATGCAGTTTATTTCCTCTTTATTCTGAAGTTGCTCTTTGATTATTTCCCCATCTTCACATTTTTAACCTAAAATTTGAGCCACAGGAAAGATAACTCCTTCCCTGCCCATTCATGTCCTGAGCAATATTTCTATTCTGCTGAGTGCTGTATGAATGTCATTCTCAGAAGTCCCATCTTCCCAGTTTCCACAGCAGCTTGTAGTGGACGCTACAAGCAAAGTGTGAGGTTATATAACAATGATAGAAAAGTATTTCCTCAGAGATTCCACCCACAAATTTTCTAGAACCCCAGTGCTTCAAGTATTCCCTTCTAATAAAGACACTTTCATGCTTACCCATTCAGTTCCCCAACTCAGAGAAATCAGTGTCAAATCCCCCTTGCATTCTCTCCAATTGAGGTGTGCCATCCTTAGCTATTGTTCTTCTGCCAATTCCAATGCCTTGAGCATATGCTTTATATATACTTGAAAATTCTTCTCATTCCATTAACATCACTGTTTGTTTTTTCCCCTCTTTTACATGGTTGAGTTCTTTTTGTCACTGTGCACATTGACTCATGAGGAACTAAAAGGGGGCCTCTTACCACTATAAAGTATATTTCTTCTAAATGAGTAGGAATTCTCTTATAGTTATAAAGCGAGCTAAAGCAGGAATAATTTTTCCCTCTATTCAGGAAAAATATGAGATATTTAATAGTGGCTTTAGAAATACAAGGTAAATTCTAACAACTGTTAATTGATGAGGGAGACAAAGTGAATTATTCAAGGAAGAAAAAACAGAAGCAGACCAGTATGAAGCTTCAAATTCTTGAATATAAAACAAGAAACCATTGAATTCATGATCCAAACATAAGCAATAGCTTAAAAATTTTCACTAGAAAACAGAATTAAATGTCAGAAAGCATCTTCCTTACATCCTCAATTAAGTCAAGAAACAGAAAATTGAGTGGGTTGAAATATATCCAGACATAAGAAGAGAGGAAGATGAAATGTTAGTAAATGAAGTATATAATAATAGCATTAACATCTGCTTTATGTCCTGGATACACTGAGTATCTTGCCTCAATGTGCACTGTCTCATTCTATATAACTTTGGAATGATTATGATGGTGTAAGTTTCTGATAGCCTCTTGAAGTACAGCCACTGTGCTGCAGCTCTCACCACTAAATACCAGCCACAGCAGTTTGACCAGGAATGAATGCTGGTCCAAAGCAGCTCCTAACAGACTGGCCTGCAGCCCGAGAGATGGCCTGCATTACTCTACTCCACAGAGCCACTCTATGTGTTAGTGGTTAACTACTGTAAAAAACCCACATACTCTTTGGGGAAAAGTTTGAATGAAATACATACACATCAAGTCCATTGATGGTGATTGATATCTCTAGGGTTGGGAGATCAATGGCTGGCTATTTTATTTTGTGTGCATGTGAATCCTTCAGATATTTTTTGTGGTCTCTCACTGTATTAATCCAACTCTGGTTTGCCTTGTCCCACTATTCTTCTGTTCCCACCCTTAGTCATTTCCCTTATCAGGATGAGGTTGATGCACATTAACTAGTACTAGTTGGTCAGGCACCTGGCAACCCAGCTACCTACTGCAGTGTACAATTGACCTGGACAAGTTTAGACATCTTGCCAGACAAAATGATCAGAAGACAAGATGGTCCTTGCTGTGTCATCTCTCCACTCTGTTGCCTGTTCATTTCAGATGGACATGAAGGAAGGACCTGCAGTTTGTCACCTAATCTACTGTTCAACTGGAGAAAGGAGTGTTAGTTTCTTCTTAGGAATATCTATAACCTTCACTGTTAGGGCTCTTCTTTTTTCCTCACACCTGGTTTCCCTAAGCCCTTTCCTTGTCTCCTCTAAAAGGGGGACTTCACTCCAGAAATAAACCCCAAAACATAGAGCCAACTGATCTTTTACAAAAGATACCAGTCAATCTAGTGGGAAAAGGAAAGCATCTTTTGCAAATGGTGCTGGAAAAACTGGGTATCCACTTGCAGAAAGATTAATCTGAATCCCTATCCCTTACCATTAACGAAGTAAACTCAAAGTGCATCAAAAATCTAAATCTATGACTTCAAACTATAAAACTACTGGTAGAAGACCCTGGCGACACTCTGGGAGACATTTGAGTAGGCAAAGACTCTTTAAGTAAGATCCCCCAAAGCACAGGCAATAATCCCCAAAATAAACAGATTAAGAAGTTTCTTCACAGCTAAGGACATGTGAATTGACAACTCTTGGAATGGGAGAATATTTTTGTAAACTATGCCCCAGATAAAGGACTGATAACCAGAATACACAAGGAACTCAAGTTCCTGGAAAAAAAATGATTAACCCAATTAAAAATGGGAAAAAAATGCTTAATAACCAACTCTAAGGAAAACATGTGAACAGCCAAAAAGCATATGAAAAAATGTTCAACATCCCTCATCATATGGTAGATGCGACTAAAAGCCATAGTGAGATACTACCTAACCCCAATCAGAATAGTGAAGGTTAAAAATCCAAAAATTGGTAAGTACTGGTAGTGATGTGGTGAAAGGGGAACTCTCTTACAGAATTTAAATTGGTCCAGCCACTGTGGAGAACAATATGGAAGTTCTTCGAAGGCATACAAATAGAACTACCGTATGATCCAGAAATTCCACTCCTGTATACTCAAAGGATAGGAGAATGCTCAGTCAGAAAAGTGCTTGCACATCTATGTTTATTGCAGCATTATTCACGATTGCTGAAACATGGAACCAACCCAAATGAATGATGAATGGACTGAAAAACTGTGGCACATATACTTCATGGAATACTATGCAGACAGAAAAAAAAAACAAGAAAAACAAGGCTCTGGCATTTGATAGAATGTGGATGAATATGGAAGATTTATTGCTGAGTGAAATGAGTCAGACTATGAAAGAGAGACATTGATGTCTCCATTTAACATATACAGGCTGTTCATACTCTATGTAAAGACTGAAAGATTGAAGGACATAAAACCACTGAAAATAGTTATGGACACTGGAAAGAAATTAAAAGACCAATGATGATATATGCTAATGAGTGTAGGGTAGGTAAGTAGGGAGGAAAAATAGAGAGGTACGATATTTGTGGGACACAGAAATGGTTTATTACCTATTGATGATGATGTGTATAGCATTCTCAACTAGACTGGTCTGAGGTGTATTGGGTAAATTCTCTATACAAGCTAATTGATGTATAATCATCAAATATATAAATAATAAAAATAAATAAAATATGTGTAAAAAAGTGGTATTCAAAAAGTTCTTGGAAGATGTACATTATGAAAAGCTACACATAGATTTTAATTGGAGGGGGGCATCGAAATAAATTTGTACTTTAATTTCATTCTTCCTTGAGAAGTCCCCTCATCTTTTATTTACTTCCCTCTAGAGAAGGCACTCTGATTTTTCTTATTTGTAAGTTTGGTAAAAAAAATCTGCCTAATTCTGGATGTTGTTATTATAGAACAGACATTATGTGTGTGTGTGTGTGCGCGTGTGAATGTGTGTGTATACATTTATTTAGATGCTAATATTTTTTCTGATATATATTATATATTCATATATGTATATACACCACATGTATATTTCACTGAAAAGAAGAAAATAAAAGGCAATTTACCAAAGGGCAAACAATAATAGCCAATAAATTCACAAAAAAAGATGCTTAGCCTCATTTTATCTTAGCTTCATATTTCAAAATAAGAAAAATAATATTAAGGGAACGCTCTCAATCTTTCACATTGCAAAAACAAAATAAAACTTGGAGAATATTGAACTGAAAAAAAGACATGAAAAAATGAAAGTCTTTGTATACTATTGAAAGAAATGCAAATGGATATAGTAGTTACCTTGAAAAGCAGCTTGATCACATTTAATAGAAAATGTACAGACCTTAGTCTATAGCTATTCTGCTTCTATGTATATATTGTATATTATACAGAAATCCTTACACATATCTGACAAAGGGAGACATTTAAAAGTCTATCTATTTCAGAATTATGCATAATACTAAAGGACCAGAAACGATATAAATGGCCATCAGCTGAATAATAGCTAAAATACGATGTAGTCATAGGATGGCATAAAACCATACGGACATTTGTCTCCTTTCCAAAAAGGTAATTTACTGCATTTCTTCCTTATTGGAAGAACTTGCCTCTTGTTGGAGAGACATTAAATGCCAGGTTTTTAGTTTAATGTCTCCCTTGCATGTTCAGTTGGTCATGGAAATCAGCTCTGGCCTCTGGGAATAGAGGAGAAGCCTGCTGAAAATGTCTCTGAAAGGAGAAATCTTTCCTCTTTTCATCCTGTGTTAAGTATTATCCTGTACCACATGTAATGTTGGGAGTTCTTATAGCCATTTTGTGATCCTGAGGGGAAAGAAATGGAAATTGCAAAGAAATCAACACAGTCTGACATTTTTGAATGGTTATAAATACTGGATTGAGCTACCTCTGAAATTCTGTTTTATTAGCAGGATATACCCTTGTAGTTTGAAATGAGAGAGAGAGAAAGAGAGAGAGCATCTTATGTAATAGTATTTTCCTCTCCTTGAAGAGTATAATTAATTGAATAAATTTATTTCTGCACACTGAATTCCACAAGTAAAATACAAAGATAAATAAAGACATAATGGGGACTAGCAGTTAGTGTAATGGCTATGTCACTGAGCTTCCATGT